ATTCACGAAACAACATACGTTTATAAAGAAGTTATATTTTACAGATTGAATTCCATCGATGAGCACGTCAAAAATTACGCTCCTCAAATTTTGGCATTGAGCGGAGCTCCTGGCGCCAGGCCAGCGTTATTGCATCTGGCAAATCTCATCACGAAAAATCACTCGCTGTTGATTTGCGGTGAAATATGCCCGGTATGCGATTTAAAATAATCAAATTCGTTCCTCTATCCCTTCGTTGCTTTCATAGAAATACTAATCGTTTCAAATTCTCGTTAATCATTTTATCCTTTGGGCCTTGAACTCGATAACAATTTATATAAATATTTTTATTAACAGACTCGTTTATCATATCGTTTGCGATCAATGCGACTGAGAAACGGTTACGCGTGGTTGCATCAACAGCGTATAAAATCTTTCTATCATGTGGTGGAGGATTTAAGTTTCGAACGGGGTGCATCGGCTTTGATGCAGGCAACAGGTGTCGGAAAATTGGCGCCGAACGTTGTTTTGATGGGTTATAAAACGCACTGGTCAACGTGCAATCACAAAGATCTTCAGGAATATTTCAATGTGCTTCAGTAAGTTTCTTCAGAATTTGTCGAAAATTAAAACAGAGTGGTTGAGAAATACGAATATTCGTGGCAGTATTCTTTGAACCATCGATTCTAAAGGATACAACAAATACAAAAATTGGTGTTGATGTTTATTTATGGAAAAATGCGTATTCGTATACTTATGTGTATTTCTGCATCATTTAGTTTGATTGAAAATTTTTACAACGATGGGGATAATTAAATTTTCATACAGATTAGTATAAAATTAGTATTAAATATGAATATAATCGATATTCGTTAAGTATTATTTCATCTAATGAAATTTTATATTGTTTATGTTAGTAACGCGTTCGATCAAAAACTGGCAGTAGCCATGTTGCGAATTGCGGAGGGTTTGGACTGTTGTGAAGTTGCCACGGCGAACGGCGATGATGAACACGGTGTCTTAGCGCAGAGTAGCTACGATTTAACAGGAAACACTTTGATGCACGTGGATAGCAATTTGTCAATGTCCAGCCAAATTCCGAGAGTGCAAAGCGTGCCAACAATGGGTATTTATAATAATATTTTATGTTTATTTAATATTTGCAATTTTTGAAAAAGAAGAGTTTAAAATAGTAGTAGTATCTTTAATAAAATAGTAATTTTATTAAAGATAAATTTATATTATGAATAATTAGTATAGTAAAAAAATAAGAAATAATTATAATTTATAAATAAATCATTTTTGCATTGTTTATTATTATTGTATAAATAGCTATTACGTGAATCACATATAATTGTTGTAAAAATATTCTAAAAAGTAATTAATGTTTAACGTTTGATTTTAATTTTATTTTAGGAAGTCAATTCGTGCCTATCGATGGTCCACAAATTATTAGAGATTCGCCTACTCATGGAAGTGCTCGAGAACATTTGAAACAGAAACGAAAACATGCTATAGAGAAACTAATGTAAGTTAAAATTAATTGTTATTTTCAAAGAATAAATTTTATATGGAAGATTTAAACGAAAAGTTTTCGAAAAATCAAAATCGAATATTACAATTTTAATTGAATGGATATTTTTTTGAAAAATTCACTTTTAAATTATTTTTAGACGAAAATTATTTAAAATGTATAATAAATGAGTGATATTTCAAGGTTTAATTTAATTTTTAAGGGAAAAACGCCATGTAATGCCATCTATACCTGAACGCTTAGCGATTTTTCAAAGAAAGCACAAAAATGGTACAATTGATGTATGGTGGCTATACGATGATGGAGGTAATTCATAAAATATTTTTTCATAATACGTATCTTCAAGCAATTAGATTATTAATCAATCAAGATTTTCAATGTATATTTTTAATCGATATATTTATTTATCTTAAAATAAATGAGTAAAATATTTTTATATAAATATTTTTGAACTTACTTCATGTACATACATATAATACATAATATAACAATTATAAATAGAAAACATTTTTAACAAATTTTAATTAATTGAATTAAAAAATTTATATTAATATTGCAATAATTATATTAAGAATTTTTACTATATTTATAGCCTTTTATTATTATTAAGATTATATTTCGTTTTCGATATTTTCAACAGGAAAAAACAAAACAAAAATTGCATGAAAATTTCTAATAATTTTAAAAAATTCAAACAAAATAATAGAAAATATTATTTGAAATTTATAAAACATTTAATGAATCATTTGTTTACATTTTATATAAAGATACTCATTTTTAAGTGGCAGAAATTTATATTCGACAGGTTTAACGATTCTTCTTCCATACATTATTAGTACACGCTCAAATTGGGAGCATTGTAAAATGAGAATTTTTGCATTGGCCAATCACAAACAAGACATTGTAGCACAGGAGAAAGAGTAAGTTAAAAATCAAAAAGAAAATTCTCATAATTATAAATATTTCAAATTACTTTTTATTTAAATCAATATTTTCTATCAAATATATTTCTTTATTTAAATATTTTTTTTAAATTTAATTTATTTATAATTACAAATATCAATTATAATCAAAATTAAATTTAAAATAAATTTTAGATATTATCTTTAACATAAAAATTTGAAAAATTTAAAAATCGAAATAAAAAAATACTAATCAATCAATGTATATAAATATCAATGTTATTTTTATAATTTTCAGAATGGCCGAAATAATGACAAAGTTCAGGATAAGATATACCAGTTTAAAAATGGTAGACGATATAAGCGTTCAACCAAAACAAGAAACATTAGATTTTTTCGATAAACTCATATCTAATTTCCGAAAAAATGATGTATCTGATACAGGTAAAATAATGAATTTAGATATTTTATCTAAAATTTAAGATTAAAAAAGATTATATTAACTGATAACTTCATTCATTTACCGATAATTAATAAAATAATTAAAAAATTATTTAAATTATTAAAAGATAATTAGTTAATTAAAAGATTATTTCAATATTTCATTATAGAATGCTGCGTAACAAATCTTGAACTTCAGACTTTGAAAGATAAAACGCACAGACAACTCAGACTACGAGAACTTCTATTGGAAAACTCAAGTCAGTCTACCTTAGTTGTAATGTATGTATACACAAAAATTATTTACATTATTATAAAGTTCAACAGCAAAAATAATATCTTATAAAACAATTGCAAATCTTAATCTTCCTTTTTTTATATATATATTGAAAAATAGAATTTTTCAATATATATATAACCTATTATCAATAATGCTTAATATAAAATTTATCAATAAATATTTTTTTTCTATCAAAAAAATATTATATGTAATTTTCAAATATTGAATTCTAGATATTAATTTTTTTTTAACAATATTAAAATAATATATTTGAAAATTAATAAATAAATGAATAGTTTTTGAGATTTTTCTTTTTTAATTATAGGTCACTACCAATGCCAAGAAAGGGTGCAGTTTCCGCTCCATTGTACATGGCATGGTTGGAAGCTTTAACCAAGAATATGCCACCGACTCTTTTGATACGCGGAAATCATACTTCAGTGTTAACTTTTTATTCGTAGTTCATATTATTTTAAACCAGTGTTTTTCAATCTTTTTAGATTAGCGATACATTTCGAAACTAGTAAAGTTTTTGCGACACATCATAATTGTTAAGATAAAAATTTTCATTTATTTAAAATAATAACATATAATAACACTTGTTATAATATATTATTTACTCAAAAAAGAAAAAAATGTTTTAAAAATATTACTAAATATAAAAATATTTATAAAAATATTGATATATTATATTTTAATGACATTTATATTTTACATATTATAACAAGGATTTTTTTATATCGCATTTTTTAACATTATTTATATATCAATAAATATTAAATATTTTTATATATAAA